ATTCTTTTCTAGTTCTCCTCTGACCTCTCTGCTGCTCCATGGCAGGCTCCCCTCAGGGTCTCCTTCCTCTCCTGTCCCTTAAATGCTGCTGTTTGGAAACCTCCACCTCTCACTTCCCACACTCTGCCTGGGTAAACACACCCTCTCTTGTGGCCTCACATACCTTCCCAGGGCTGGTGAGACCCAAATTCCAATGAGGTCCCCATCTCTGCCTTCATTCCAGACCCCTGTCCAAGGCTGAGACCACTATATCCAGAAGTCTCCTAGACACCCCTCCCTGATTGTCCCACAGGGTGTCTCCCACTCAACAGGTACCAAATGGAGTCCATCCTCCTGCCCCAACCTGCTGTTTCCTGGATTCCTATACATCCACTCAATATATAGTCATTACATATCTTTTGGGGGTGTAAGAAAAAAAATGGAAGATTTGGAATAAACAAAGAAATCAGTGCTATAATTTTAAAAAATGGAAATAGCAAGTATTGACAAGAATGTGTGGAGAAACTGGAACCCTCATACATTGCTGGTGGGAATGTGAGATGCCCCCCAAGAACCAGGCCTAAGCCCATTGAGGACGTGACTTAATGGAATAGGGTGGGTGTATGCAGAAAGGACAGGGAACGGGGAGCTACACTGTGGGGCCTCTGAGGATGTGCTACAAGGGTGCCTGGAGAAATGGCATGAACACCCAGCCAAGCATGGTGTAGGGGCCCGGGGCCACCAGCACCCCCCTGGCTTGGGCTGGGGGCAGCTATAGTGGTAACCTGTGTGTCTTCTTCTCAGGATGGCCTGAGCCTCCTGGGACTGTGACTAGCTCCAGTCACGGGGAGGCTCCTGGTCAATGATTAATATTAGAGTTCCTGCCAACCCTGGCAATGAGAGGAGGAGATTCCAACAAGACTTAATTTGATTCATCAGAATAAAGAAATGCACATTTCTCATGCCCTGAGTGCCATGATGTGATTCACACATAGAATTGCAAATTGTGGTATATGTGAGGTAAAGAGGGGATGGCTGTAGAGAAAGAGTGCAGATTCCCTATATATTTAGCAGGTAGAGTGGACATGTCTTAGTGATAGATTGGAAGTGGAAATTGGTGCCAAAAAAAAAAAGCCAAAGATTTCCAGGTTTCTGACTGAGAACTGGGTAACCCAGAGTCTGTTCCCCATCCCTTTCCTCTGGATGACCTGTTCTGGCCAGGACAAAGACTACGCCAAGGTGCCGCCCCAGTGCAACCTGGCCCCTGTCGCCTACTGTGGATTCGTATGCACCGTGTTCTGGTCCCCACCATGTCCTGGTCCCCATTGTGGCGGTGCTGACGCAGGGCAGGTGTTAAGGGATGGGATCACTTGGTGGCAGAAGTAAAATCTCGGCTCGTCCTGGGATCAGCCACTAGGCGCTCCGAGGAGGCCCTGGCTCACGCTCCTAGAGGGTCTCCAAGGCCCAGGATGGGGTCTACGCCTGTGGGTCCCAGGTTTCCTTCTCCCACCTGCACCCCAGCACGTCCTGCCTGATGGCCTGAGGGCCCCATGGCTCGGTGCAGTAGACATTCAGGGAATGGCCATGGGCTCAGGCCATAGGCTCAGCTATTACAGCCAGTTTCGGGGGCCCTTGGGTGTCTTCAGACCAGAGTCCCAGATCTGGGCTCAGACGCAGGCCGACCTGGGTTTGGTCCTGGGCTAGAACTGGAGCCACCCCTTGCAGAGAGCTCCCCAACCTGCCCCACCCCTCCTGACCTCCTCAGCGGGTGCCCCAGGCCCTATCGAGGGTACACAGTGTGGGTGTCGGCAGAGTGGCAGTGTGGCAGGCAGTGGGGCCCATCTTCTGGATTCTCCAGAAGGAGAAGGAAAAGGGATGCCTGGGTGGCTCAGAGGGTTTAGTGCCAGCGTTCAGAAGGAGAAGGAAAGATGGAGGGGCTGGGTGCTGGTTGCCGCTGGGGAGGACCAGGCCGGGAATGAAGTTTGCTTCTGAACAGGGCCAGAGTCCAGTTCGTTTCCTGCCTTTCCCGGCCCCAGCCCTGGACTGGAGGCCTGGGCCCTCACCTCCCTCATGGGGCCCTCTTCCCTGCAGTGGAGAGCTGGCCGTGCTGCTGGCGCGGCTGGCGGGGCTGGCGGGCCTAGGCTGGCAGCTCAGCCCTGGGCTGGAGGCTTTTCACCTCACCGTCTCTAGTCCTCGGGAGGGCTTTACAAGTGGGGACCTTGAGGTGGTTGGCGCTGGGCTGGGGCCCAGGTCGGGCTGCTCCCCAGCCGAAGCTGCCAAACCCAGCAGCCACGGCCAGTCCTCATCTGCCCTCTCTCAGCCTTTGACCCTGGCACCACAGGCCTGGCCACAAAGTCCCTGGTGTCTTCTTACGGCTTTAGGTTGTCCTCCTCAGCTTCCTTTGTGCATTTCTCATCCTACCTTTTAAAGGCCTCTGGAGCATCAAACTGGGCCCACTTCTCTTTTCATTGTGACGCTGTCACTGGGAGAGCGTAACCTCCCCCATGTGGAGCTGAGCCCCAAGCAGCGCCTCCTTCAGGGGAGGAGCCCTGCTGGCCAGTGGCCTCCTGGACCTCGGCCGCGGTGTTCTGCATCTCAGAGATGGCACCGTCATTGGCCTGGCCCCTGGGGTGTGTGGGGCAGAGGGAAAACTGAGAAAGGAAGCTTTCCACGCACAATACTCCCTAACCTCAGTGTGGCCTTTCTCATCGGCAGGGCCCTGACTCTCAGAACTTGTATGGCTGCAAGCTCTGCGTTGTGTGCCAGGAAGAAGCCTCACAGTGTGTGTGTGTGTGTGTGTGTGTGTGTGTGTGTGTGTGTGTGAGAGAGAGAGAGAGAGAGAGAGAGAGAGAGAATAAAGGCTTCTGGGAGCAGAAAGCCCTGGTGCCATCAGGAGTGGGCTGAGGAGGCAGGCTTGGGGCCAGTTGCTCAAAAAACTGACTATTTGGAAGTCATCAGTACTTCCTGTCATGGTTTCTCTGTAACAACCCAGCTGAGCTATTTTAAAATGAGCGCTGTATTAAAAAAAGAGACCTTTAAAAGGGGTTAGTGTCCATAATGGGTCTTACAGGCCCTAAAGGGGTAGGAGTGCTCCTTGGGAACCAGCTTTAGTTGGAAGCCCCAGGTGGAGTTCCCCCAACACCCTAGGCCCCTGAGGGCTCTGAGATTATGGTGGCCCACAGCATGGTGTCTTCCCAGGACTCATCTCTGACCAAGGTGGAGCTCTGGCCCCGCTGGCAGTCCTCCAGTGTTCTTCCCCAACCCACCTCCCTCCCTCAGGTCCCCATATCAGAGAACTTGTCACCTTTGCCTGGTCCCAGTTTTTTGCCACAGCAACCTGCCACACCCCTCCGCCAAGCTCTCATGCAAATCTGGTTCCTTTCACTCAAGGACTCCCAGAAAGGGCTTACCTCGGCTCTTGTACCCACCACCCATGAGACCCCTTCATAGCCCCTGCCTGGCTGTCTGTACTCCACAGCCACTTTGTCTGAGAAGCCTTCCTGGCTGCCCCCATCAAGTATTCGCTCTTCACTGTCCTCTCGGTTGTCTTAGGGCCTCATCCCACCCACCTTTGATTCTCATGAGATGGAGACTTCTTTACTGCTCTAACTCAATGCCCAACACTTGCCAAGACAAAGTGGGTGGTAAGGAAAAGTCTGTTGCATGTGTAAATGAATGAGGGACCTTGGGGATTGATTTAGAGGCCTTGGCTGGGCTGTTTCAGATATTGAATGGGCATTAGCAGCGTCTCAGTGTCCTGGGACTCTTCTGATCAGAGGCCTGGTTTTCTCAAGAAGCATAACCTCTGGATGAGCTTTAGGACCGAGCCGTTGGCTAACAACTGTCACCCAGAATTACCCTGGAGCAACTGGATTCCTGTTCCTCTTACCTCTTTGGGTTTCAATTCTGACTAATCCAGGGCCCAGCCTGCTGTGATTTGGTTCTTGTTCCTAGGCTTTAATGGGACCTGACCTGTGAAATGATAGAAAATATAAGTATTTCTCTCTGTCCCTGGTTCAGGGCACAGAGTTCCTTAAACTCTCGGAATTTCCTAGGTGATAGGATTGTCTTGTTTCAGTGAGGCAACTGTTGGTAGTCTCTGGGATAGCTTCAGAATGGGTGCTGGACACCAGAAAGACCAAGCCATGATTAGAAGCTTGGAACTTTCAGCCCTACCCCTATCTTCTGGGAAGGAGAGAGGGCTGGACATTGAGTTAATAATGGATCATGCCTACACGATAAAGCCTCCATAAACCCCCCCAAAGTACAGGGTTTGAAAAGCTGCTGGGTCACTGGAGGTACTGAGAGGGTGGCATGCTTGGTGATGGTGTGGAAGCTTCATGCCCCTTCCCCCATACTTTACCCCACACATCTCTTCCATCTGGATGTTTATCAGTATCCTTTATCCTTTTATGATAAACCAGGAAACCTAAGTGTTACCCTGAGTTCTATGAGACATTCTAGCAAATTACTGAACCCAGATATGGGGTTGTGGAAATCCCAATTTATAGGCCACAGTCAGAAGTATAAATAACAACCTGGGACTAGCAATTAGCATCTGAAATGTGGGCTTGGGGGCAGTGTTGTGGGACTGAGCCCTTAAAACCTGTGGGGCCCAGTGCTATCTCTGGGTAGATAGTGTCAGAAGTGAGTCAAATTGCAGGATACCCAGGTGGTGTCAGATAATTGTTTTGTGTGAAGTGTCAGACATGAAGTGCTGTGGAGTGTGAGAGTGAAGGAGAAACACAGGTAGGTTCTGCCTCACAGTGTTGTGATGGGGTCCCATCCTCAATCTCCTAGCATCTCCCACCCCCTCCCATCTTATGCTGTCTACTCGTAGGAGCCGGGGATTTCTCAGACTTGTCTGGCCCAGACGGAAGAATGCAGGGTCCTGCTTGCCCAATTTTAAGTGTGCCTGGTGTACACAAGTGCATATGTGCATGCACATGTGTGCGTGCACACACATGTACACACACACACTCAGTAGAGCCAGAGAGAAACACCGCTGAGCCAGAGGGACCAGTTTTATTAGATTCCAGCAAGACTATACAGTACATGTTTCATGCAGATTAAATATGTGTCTTTTCCGCCCCTGGGAGGGAGCACTGCCACTTGCTAGCTCCTTACTTGGCATGTCAAGGGGTGAGTATCAGGGGGAACTCTCAATATATTCCGCATGGGGGACAGTTGGGATCATGACAGGGGGTGGAGGCGAGACAGTGGGCAGCTGAGGGCCCTTGGGACCTTGAGTCTTCAGAGGTTCAGGGACCACAGGACCTTGGTCTTTTGCTGGTGGTGACACCAGAAGGTCTTGATCTTTCAGAGGCACCGGGGTTATAGGAACTTGATTCTTCACAGGCTCAGGGACCACGGAATCTTGATTCTTTGGAGGCTCTGGGACTACAGGTCCTTGATCCTTGACTAGTACTGGGACCACAGGACCTTGATTCTTTACATGCGCCACAGCCACCGACTCGTGATCCTTCAGAATCTCTGGGACCGCTCCACCTTGATCCTTGACTGGCTCCGGAATCACTAAATCTTGATTCTTTACAGGCTCAGAGAGCACAAGACCTTCATTTTTTACAGCAGCGGTGACTGCAGCATTTTGATCCTTCAGATGCTCTGAAACCATAGGACCTTGATCCTTGACAGGTGCTGAGACCATGGGACCTTGATCCTTGACAGGCGCTGAGACCATGGGACCTTGATCCTTGACAGGCGCTGAGACCATGGGACCTTGATCCTTTGGAGGCTCTGGTACCATGGGACCTTTATCCTTAACTGCTGCTGGAACCATAGGACTTTGGTTTCTTGGAGGCACCGGGACCAAGGAAGCTTGGTCCTTTACTGGGCCTGAGGTCACAGAACCTTCATTTTTTAAAGGCTCTGGGGCCCCGTGATCTTGATCCTTAACTGGTGTGGGGACCATGGGACCTAGATCCTTCGGAGGCCCCGAGATCACAGGAGCTTGACCCTTCAGAGGCTCTGGAGCCATGGGGCCTTGATCTTTTGGACGCTCTTGGATCACAGGACCTTGATCTTTCAGAGGCCCTGGGCCCACGGGACTTTGATCCTTGTCTGGCTCTGTGGCTATAGGACCACGATTCTTACTTGATTCACTGGTGGGCTCAACCTGGCTCCTGCAGAGGAGAGAGAGGTAGTCACTGTGAGGGCCAGAGGGCGGGCCAAGGATTGGGCAGAGCACAGATTGCCTGAGAAGTCTTGGCCTAGTGGAGCCTGGGCAGGGTAGCTCTTGCCGGAGAGCCAAGAGGAGAATCTACTTTGCATGTTCTTAGTACAGAACGTGGGGTGGGGTGAGGGGCAGGCTCTGGAATCAGTCATTCGATGTGCTTGCCAATTGATTATAACCTGCGCGTGGCACAGCGGGTGGCACCCAGGTGACGAGGGCAGTATTGTAGCAGGACTCAGAGTCCTCCTGTGGCCATCCCAGCAGCCCGTCCACCCCATACTCCACTGAATCTGCTCTCCTTCCTCCGTGATAACTGGGCCCTCCTGCAAGCCCATCTTAGCTATCCACTCAGACGGCCCTACAGGCTGGGGCACTTGCCTCCTTCTCAGGGCCTCCTGAGGCTCCCACCCCTCCCCACATCCCTTGTAAGGGCCGGCTGTGGAGAGGGACGAGAGAGGGCAGGGGAATGTCCCTCTGACCCCTGTCTCTGCAAAGGGAAAAGTATTTTAACATTAACACTGTTTAGAATAGCCTACACAAGGTGATAATAAAAAGCTGACAGGCTTTTCATTGGTTTTATTACTGCATTTAAATTCTCTGTCTACAATGCACCACACTGTTGCCTGCGCCGCTGCCATTGGCCTCACCTTTGGCAGGTGATGGCTGGGACTCCGCCATTCAGGCAGCGAAGAGGCCCTGCTCCCCTCGCTCTGTCCCCACTTCTGGCTCCCTCTACTGTCCCTGGGCTGTTGCCTTCATTTCCTCCAAGGCTCTGGGGCTCATTTCCCTGTGGCCGAGCTCAAGCCTGTCACCAGGATTCACTGCAGATGCTTGCCTCAGCCCTTGGCCCCTCTGCTTGGTAGAGAGCAGGGGACATCATTGCCACCAAGGGTAAACCTTGCCACGCTCAGAGCCCCCAGTCTAGTTTAGAATGCACACTCCTTCCTTGCAGGCCAGGCTGAAATTTGCTACTCAAGAGCAGCCACTCAGCCAGTGTCACAGACCCTCACGCAGCCCTAGCACATTCCACTTTCCAAATCACTTCTTTTCCTAGTTCATTTCAGCACCCCAGCAACCCCATGAAGCATGCGGGAGGATTTTATTACCCTTACTAGTCAGATAAAAAACTGAGGTCCCGAGAGAGCAAGTGATATGGAAAGGGAGGGACCTGAACAGATTCTAGAGTTTGGGTCTTTCCGCTCCCGGAGCTTGCGCTCTGTCCCGTGTCATGCCTGGCACACAGTAGCTGCTCAGGACAGGGGAGCTATTATTACACTTTTACACTTTGTGGCCAGTTGAGTCTCTAAGCTGAAAACCACTTCAGCATTTTAACAGTTCCTATTAGCTTTTAGGACTGTGTCTTACCTGCTTATCAAAGCTGGTCAGTAAGACCCCTACTTGCTAAGACTTTCATAGTTCATTATGGCTTCCTCTCTCTTGGCCTCAAGTTTGTCGTCTATCTCATTGGATGATATTTACTCAGAAATTTATGTAAGAGGGCAGCCCAGGTGGCTCAGCGGTTTAGCGCTGCCTTCAGCCCAGGGTGTGATCCTGGAGACCCGGGATCGAGTCCCATGGCGGGCTCCCTGCATGGAGCCTGCTTCTCCCTCTGCCTGTGTCTCTGCCTCTCTCTCTGTGTGTCTCTTATTAATAAATAAAATATTTTTTTAAAGAAACTTATGTAAGAGATCATGTATGTAAGCACCTGGTACCATGACATTCCTATACAATATTACAATTATTTTTCTATTGACTTAGAAGTAAAGTTACACATATTTGGACTATTTTTATTCTGACATGTCATCTCGATCCAGAAGCTTTTTACTGTGTTTGGCATTTTGAGCTATCTCGGGAGCCTACATCTCTCAGCAGAGTACACAGTGGCATGGGCAGGCTTTGCCAATCCCTCTGGGTGTCTCTGAGCCTCACAGTGGACACACAGGGACCAAGGTGGCTCCCTGGCTCACATGACACAGAGCACAGTTGCTCTGGCCAGATGCACACAGCTGGCTGCCATCAGTGGGACCTTATTGTTTGCAGAGAGAGCCAGGCAATGCCGCGAGAAGTATGCAGAATCCAAGGATGGCATCGTCATACACCTAATACTTGGAGGCGGGCCAGAGAGGAAACACAAAACACCCAATTCAGAATAGAATCAGGTAGAAAATCGATTAGATGAATCCCATCAGGTAGTGAACCTGGGGGTGACAGAGCTGAGATAGGAGGCACAAAAGATGGCAGAGCTTAACTTGAACTTGGGGCCTTGCCCTGCAAAACCTACCTCACTGGCAGGACACGGACTCAGCGTCCTGGCTGGCATGGAGATGGGACAGGGTGCTGGCCCCACAGCGTGGGCAAAATCCATTTCCCTGGGTATTTGAGGCATTGGCTCCCAGCCATTCCTCACGTTCTGCCAAACGAGCCTCTCGGCCCCCTGTGAGTTAACCCTAAACTTGCTTGAATACAGGATCTTAGATTACTTTGGCTAGTGAACCTGTTTCGTTAGTCAGTGTCCTTACTCATGGGGAGGTTTAGAATGAAGATTAGAAAGGATAAATAAAATCAAAGCTACCATATGGCCCTTTTTTGGTATTAAGAAAAAATATATGTAGATTTATTTTGAAAATATTTGTGATGTTAAAAAAGTATCTGATCAGGGCAGCCCTGGTGGCTCAGTGGTTTAGTGCTGCCTTCAGCCCAGGGCCTGATCCCAGAGACCTGGGATCTAGTCCCACGTCAGGCTTCCTGCATGGAGCCTGCTTCTCCCTCTGCCTGTGCCTCTGCCTCTCTCTCTGTCTCTCATGAATAAATAAATAAAATCTTTTTTTTAAAAAAGTATCTGATTGATTCCAGTATAAAATATGTAATGAAATAATTAATTTAGATTTGTGGTTTTAAGTTGAAAGATACAGGACAATTTTATAAATTTTGAAAACAACAATGGAACTTTTATGATAACCCAATAGTTCTATTTTGAAGCTTAGTTTATTTTAAATTATTTGCAATTTAATTTAAATTATTTAGTGGAGCTGAATTAATTAGGTTACGCAATCCCCCTCAAAAGAGATTGTTGAATTTTACTAGGTTTTAATTTTTTATTTTTTTAAATTTTTTAAATTTATTTATGATAGTCACAGAGAGAAAGAGAGAGGCAGAGACACAGGCAGAGGGAGAAGCAGGCTCCATGCACCGGGAGCCCGACGTGGGATTCGATCCCAGATCTCCAGGATCGCACCCTGGGCCAAAGGCAGGCGCTAAACCGCTGTGCCACCCGGGGTTCCCCCTTTACTAGGTTTTTAAAGTGTTACTTTTATAAATTAAGCATTAATTTTTAAAACCAAAGCGGCCTTGGGGAACCTGGCTGGCTCAGTCAGTGGAGCATGCAACTCTTGATCTTGGGCTTGTGAGTTCGAGCCCCACATTGGGTGTAGAGATTACCCAAAAATAAAAATCTTAAAAAATAATAATAATTAAAAATAAAACCAAAGCATCCTCAGTTGATTTTCCTATGAACAGAACCACCCTCAAGAGTGACATAAAACTCACACTGACACCGACTGGTCATCACTTGGTTCCACAGTGTCCTGCAAGTCTCCCCATCTGTAAAAACGCCCCACCATTCCCAGTTAAGACTGGCGGAAGCCACACACACTGTGCCTTGTGAGATGAAGCTGAGCCCTCCGGGTGGAAGCCGGTTGTTGAGTCGAGATGGGCTGCATTCAGCCCTGCTCAGCCCATGGGCCAGCTGTCCTAGGGCATGGCCTAACCCCCACAACCAATCTGGAGCGCTGCAGCCAGCTGCAGACCTTCTCAGGACAGCACATGCCACGGGCCCCCTCTTCCCCATAGCCTGCGTACCCTCTCATCAACTAGAACAGCCTGTTGGGTTTATCTTGGCCTCTGTGCTGCTCATTACCTGCAAGATCTTGGGTAATTACTCAACTACTATAGACCTCAGTTTCCCCCACCTGTAAAATGGGGAGAACGATACAAACATCAGGAACCACTATGACAGAGGATCAGTTGATCCCGTTGGGCAGGGCTATGAAATCACAACTCTTGACATTTGTATAGTGCTTTGGTGCATCACACGGTTAAGTCCATTCCCATCAAGCTCAGTAACAACAGCTTCCTAGATGCTCACGTACTCCTTACTGTAGCTCACCCAACTCTCACAGCAGCCGTGGATGAAGGCAGGGAGTGGGGGGCCCAGCCCTGCACACTCACCCCCCTTGCACTGCCCTCTGGCCAGTCCATGCTGTTTTACACATTCCCAGTGCTTTGTTGGTTTGTCTCTGCCTCCTGGACTGCCCCCTGTCACCCATTTTGCCTATCTGTCCTGGCAGCTAGGCTCAGACCCTCCTCGCAAGGTCCTGGTGGCATCTCCCCAATGGAGACTTCCCTCATGTACCTCCTTACAGTCTCTCCCAGGTTCACACATCCCCCCTCCCATCAACGTCAGTCCTCCCTGCAGTTGACTGTGAGCTCATCCCCCACTGACCGCAGCCCCAGTGCCCAGCAAAGTACCGGCAACAAAGAAAATCAAATGCAAGGATTTACAAATTAGTACTGAGATCTGCTTCAATATTTCTCCCACGGCCTGAGCCAGAACCCCAGAGTCATCTTTGATGTCTCCCTTTTTCTTAAAACCATTACCCAATCTACCAGGAGCCATCTGTTCTAGCTCTTAACATTTACGTCTCAATAGTCCTCCTTCTTTCCCTCCTTCCCTCCCTCCCCCTCCCTGCTGTGCAAGCTGTGCCGTCATCTCCATGGACTGCTGTCACAGCTCCCTAGCTGGTAGCTTCTCTTGCTCCTCCAGTCCATTCTTCATGCAGAATGGCCTTTCCAAAAAGCAACCCCCTTCCCTGCTTACAATGCTTCATGGCTCTCCTTGCACTCAGAATAAAGAGTGAAACCTGTTACATGGCTCCACCTCGCTGACCAACC